TGGTGGTGAATTTAAAACAAGGTTTTCCATTAACATTTTACATTTCCTCTTCAGCTACTTTAGTTCCAATTCAGTTTTGTAATATTGCTTAAGATTATAAATCATTTCTTATCTTATACTTTCGTACTCGACAACCACCTTATAAGAAACTATATTCAATCAAGTAGTAGAACGGCTCATGATTATTTCATTTAACATGGCATATATTCTTCATTTTCTTTGAAAAATAATTTAATTAATGTTTGCTTCAGTTTTCTACTGTTAATTTCGTTCAAGTTATCGAACGGATTAAAAATTGTCGCTAGTTACTTTTCTATAAAATTGGCTATTGTTAACAATAGATTGCAATCAATTTTAGTGAATATGCTTGCATTTCGTCGGCTAAGAAAGTGATGTTTGATGTACGGGCATATTGCATGTAGTTCTATTATTTCAATAGCTAGTGTGCATACCTTGTTTTTCTGACTGGTGATATTTTTGTCATTATAAAGTGAGATGGGTTCTTCTACCAAGGATAGCTGTGTATTAAAATTCCTTTTATTTGTAATGTTAATCAATATATCGTGAAAAGGATGAAACGTGTGCTATTCGTGGCTGCATATTAATCTATCGTCAGCTAGCTAAGAGACCGATACTCACATCGGTTTTAGAACTAGTATCAGGCTTTCTGTCGGTGGAAGATTGTATATTAATGTCTTCTAGATTCTCGAGAAATAAAAAAAGCAGCGATCTACTGCATCTTGAAAAGAATATTATTTTTTGAGTAAACATAATCCTAGATATTCAATGGTTTTCTAAAGTAGCCGTTCATTTTTATAGAAGATTCTTTCTCACACTCATCGCTGTTATTAATCAAGTGCGCAATTACGAAGTAAATCAAGAAGGATCATTGCAGATTTCAGAAAGGCTAAGGACGGGGGCGCATAAGAAGCCAAATCGGCCCATAGGACTTTTCTCTACCAATCCCATTGAAACATATATCAATTGAAAAAGTATGTTGAGATTAGCATTTTAACACTATTTTCATAGGGTTTCGATCGAATTTTCGAAGCAAGAAGTTATTAACAAAGTAGTTTATTTTTGGTCATTAATTTAATAATCGATCCTATCATAGTCGACTCATTTTTCGACTAAATTGATTAGAAAAAATAGTTGTGAAATTGAGTATTTGATAGCTTTTTTTATAGGGCTTCAATTCTATATATGAATCAATAATTGATTGTTTGATTTAGTGAAGAGGGGAGCTGAATTTTGGTACCTTTCGTTTTTATGACAAGATATTTGTTGAAAAATAAAACTTGATGGTAAATGGAGGGCCTATTGTAACAGTGCCTACCGGTATATCAGTTCTCCTCGCCACTAAATCAAACAATCAATTGCTGATTCATATATAGGATTGAAGCCCTATAAAAAAAAGCCATCAAATGCTTAATTTTACAACCGATTTTTATAATCAATTTATTCGAAAATTGAGTCGATTACGATAGAGTCGATTATTGAATTAATGGCCAAAAATGGGTTACTTTGTTGATGACTTTTTGCTTCGGAAATTCGATCAAAACTCTATGAAAATAGTGTTAAAGTGTTAATTTCAACATGTTCTTTCAATTAATATATAATTCAATGGGATTGGCCAAGAAAAGTCCGATGGGTTGATTTCGCTTCTTATGCGCCCCCGTCCTTTGTAGACTACTGATGAGAATTGATGAAACTGCGAGTGTATCATTTATTCTGAAGAAGAAAGACTTTATCATTGAACGTTTCGTAATTGTACTTTTGAGTAAAGAATCGGAGAAGTGTTTTTAAACTAATCTACTTAGGGCATACCAAAAGTAGTGGCAGTGACACTCTAATACTGTATAGTAGACTTAAAGAAATTTTCTCTCTACATAATCTGACAGAGAAAGAAAAGCTCTATCATTCTATGCTATTTGATCATACAGCAACTAATATCATAATCATAAAATTTCGATAAGATGTGTTTCGTTATCATATGTGTTGGTTGTATTATTACTGATTTTAAAAAATACTCAATCGTATTTTTTTAAATAACTATTGAGAGAAATAAGATAGAGAAGTGCAGTTTTCATCGTTGGAAAGAGGAGATGAAAACGCATCAGATCGTATATTGCAGGCGTTCCTGATCTTTTTTTTTTGTAAGGTTTTCACAATTGATCTTTTTAAAACGAGCTTATCTGGTAAGTTGTTTACAGTGAATTTTCAAGTATCAAGTATGAACTCAAATCACTAATCGAAGATCTACAAAGTGCAGCTGGCTAAGTTGAATAGTATGTATTCTAGTCGAGTCTCTTATATGATTTTGTAGCAAAATCTATGAAAAAAAGCTCACATTTGTGCCTTCTCCTTTTTTTCATACAAGAAAAGATATTTCCGACTGTTAAAAAAATTTAATAAAAATACTTCAGAAATCAACATTAGAAAAGCCTGAAATATACGATTCGATGCATCGTCATCTCATCTTTCCAACGATAAAAACCATACTTCCCCATCTTATTTCTATCAACAATTATTGATAGAATCGTGACATATCCAAACAAAAAAGATCTTATCGAAATTTTATTATTATGATATTAGTTGCTGTATGATCAAAGAGCATAGAAACATGGAGCTTTTCTTTCTCTATCAGACTATGTAGAGAGAAAATTTCTTTAAATCTACTATATGGTATTAAAGTGTCACTGCTATTACTTTTGGTATGGCCTAAGTATATATATTCTGCCAAAATAAAATGCAACAAAACAAAATAATTAACTATAATAAAATTAAATTAAATTAAATTAAATTCATTTTTTTATAGTCATTTCTGGGTACTTTAAGTCTCACAAAGGCTGGAGAGGTGGTTTAATTGAAAGCAATTTAAAAGCATCTTGAATATCAGCTTTATTCATGCAGGTATCCTTTCCTAATTTGTAAATACTTGTAATACTATCATCGACAGCAACCTATGAGAGAAAATAAGAATTTTTATCGATCAAAGAATTAGCACTTGAATGATTTTTGTCATTATGAGTAACAGATAAATCAATAATTAAACAATTCAACCAAACCAATAGAATTTATTCGATAATTAATAACAGATAGAGTGTAGTAAGGACTGATTAAGAAACCTCTGTTAAGTTCTTCTTCCACTAAACGAGTAACATTTTCAGAGTCACGTCGTGCTGATCGTAAATTGGGGCATTCGAAAGGTTAGTTGAGTATGTTGGAGATACCAAATCAAAACCTTCACGTAAGCTTGACAACAAGAATGAAGTAAATTCCTTATTAGGATGACAAGCCAATTGTTGCTCCAAACGACAAATACTAATTGACGTAGTTGCTACTAATGAAATGCTCGTAGTGCAACCGCTAATAATAAATAAAGAATAATTAATGCCCTGCGAAGCAGGAGCATTTATGTAGTCCGTCGCGAGTTTACTTTTTTTTTTTCTTTCTTTTTTCCTTACTTGACGTACGCATCATATCTCGTCATTTGTTGACGCGATGATCTCGAGAACCAAAGATCACAAATTAATCGTTAAAACGGGAGATGATAGTATCATGATCGAAGGCATGATATCTTTTTTCTAATCTTTCATACAGTCTTTGGTTCGCACAAAAATACCGTTCCAAAAACACGATTTTGACAAAATTTTGCATTGAGATAATTAAAACGAAATATGAAAGAGAAGTTAGGCGCCATTCTTTCTCTTTGAATGTAAGATAGCTGTGATACAGCTGTTTATAGATAATGAATCATATAGATAATTAAACGATCAATCGAAATTATCCTCCAGAAAATGTTCATAGGCTTTCATAGAGTTCTCTTGGCGATGAATTTTACTATGGTACTTTTCAATTTTCTCAGGGCATATATCAGCTGACTCGTGGAAAAATAATTTTTCGACTTCGAATAATACGGAGAAGTGTCTATGTTTGGTAGTCCTTCCACAAGTCAACCAGAAATGAGGATTTCTATTAACTCGACAATCGAATTTTTGTTTTCTACAAAATACCATTTTTTCGAAAATTCGAAAATTCGAGAGATTCGTGCTTCGCAGGGCATTTCGTATTCGAGTCGAAACTCGAATACCATCTAGTTAGATCAATTATTGTAAAACATAATTCAACAACTCATACTATAAATATGTTTATCCTATTTAAATGAAGTAGAAATCTCTATGAGGGAGTTCTTGATCGTTATCACTTATTTCTATACTCAGAGAAAAAAAGTGATACTTTTGAAACGTCTTTAAATTACTGAGGAAAAGTAACTAGAACTGATAACGAATATATACAAAAGACATTGTATAAATTCTCATTTTGATTTTACTTAGAAATCAATAATATTTCTACTTAACAAATTATGTAGTTTTTTTATTATAACTTTTTCATTCGCTTAATCGATACTTGACTTTTCATGATTTCATTCACTCATGAATAAGTATGAATATATCCTTTTCAAAAATTCGATCTCTCTAATAAACAAATGCTAGTTGAAAAAATTGAACGCTATTTTTCCCATAGACTTAACAAAAAAAAGAACAGTATCTATGTACATACATACCGCCATTTATATCTTCATCGAACCATAAATGATTTCTTTTCCTTTTTACTTTCAAATCAGATTTCGAGTTAATTAATAGACGCAATCGATCACCGTGCACATTTCACTCTTTTTTTTTAATCACAGCAGGATAAATGATCATAACCTTTAGATTTATTTTTTCATATCTACCTTTCATTCACACAGTGATGATCATATTTGATGACAATCACTGATTATTTTTTTTCTTATCTATTATTTATATCAAGCAAAAAAAGAAGAAATTATACTAATCAATTTCGATTTTTTTTGTAATGATTTTATTGCCAACAAGAAGAAGGATGTCACTGTTCAGGGCAAAACGCTAGAAAATAAAGAATCGCATCAGTAGAAATACTATACACACACACAACAATAACACAAAAAGAAAACAATGATCTTATTTTTTTTTTGTTTAAAGTTTAAGATAAGGTCCAGTATTATTATTCGATGTCATAGATTGTTGTTGCCGAATATGATTTATTGGAAAAGTCTCTTTACGAGGATGATGATTAAAATTGTTATTATTATTATTATTGTTATTATTATTATTGTTATTATTATTATTGTTATTATTATTATTTATTCGTGTATTGGTTGTTGTTAAAGCTAATGGTTGTTGACAATAAGTTGGTGATTGTGCTGATTGAATGCCAGGTGATAAATCTGATGTTGAACTATTACTATTACTATTTGCTGTTGAAGTCAATGTTGTTGGACATACAACAAGATGATGTGATGTAGCTAATGAATGATCATTATTTGTTGATGCTTCTTGACCAACACTGCTCAATGATGAACTTGAACCAGCGCCTGGTGTTGATGAACCTGTTGCTGTACTTTCACCATCAGTTCGTTGAGATTTATCAAGTGCTTCACGACGACCTGCATTAAAATATTAGAATTTAATAAATAACAGACAAAAAAAAAACATTAAATACTCACATCTTTCTGTTGCTTCACGTTTTTGTTTTCTAAAACAGTAAAAGTTTAGCTAATTATTTAAAACCAAGAAAAAAAATTCAATTAAAATTTACCGATATTTTGCTCGACGATTTTTAAACCAAACCTACGTAGAAAAAAAAAGAAGAATCAAAATCATTTTCTTATTCCAATCAATTAATTCTCTTCTAAGAGATGCTAAAAATTGCAGGTGTAACCTATCAATATTTTCTATGCGTACTACTATTGGTCATAATGTCTTACGGTATGTTCATTCATGTCCGTTGTACATTTTTTTTTCTCTTTCATGTGTGATCATGCATAAAAATGAATCAAGTCAAATTATCCATCTAGAACATCATTTATATACATGAATCGATAACATATCAACCAACAATTGACTACTTTCCGGAAGTGTACAAATGATTTATATATATATATTGATATACATATATTCATTCATTTGATCACATATAAACATTGAAATATAACTGATATTGATGGTGGCACCATCATGTATTTGTGTGAGTTATTAGCCTATTAGCGGCAATAGACAAGAAGAAGAAATGCATCATTGAACAATACGAAAACAAAATAATAACAAATAGAAATTATTATTAATATCGTAGAATAAAGATCTATTTGAGTAACAAAGAAAAGAGCAATCGGATATAATGGAATACAAAGCCTAGAAATGAATTGGCGGCATTAAAAAGGAAATGGAAAAAATCTCTTGACATAAGGGTGAGAACATGGAATGCATACTGGATTTGTCTTTGGATGATCCCGGCTTCGTCACTCATATTTTTTTCTCTTTTGTCATCACTTTTCACTATGAGTAGCTGATCTCTTTCTCTCTCTCTCTCTCTCTCTCTCTCTCTGTGTGTGTCTTTTGCTTTCATTTGGACTCAATCAAGTTTATTTAGTCAGCAATCAGCGGATAATTGGCAAACGATGAACTAAATCGTGCAATTGCTTCTGTCAATAAAAGTCAATTCATATATGATTCTTTTAGACAAGAAGCAATACTAACAATATACCAGAAAAGTCGTCATGTCAACAACAACAATCGAACGATCGATTGTATTGTCAGCCAGAGGCAGTGTGAGAAATCAACTTCTTTTCTTTTTTTATACAAGATATAAAGAAAATGAATACGATTTTTAAACCACTCGACATTGTGACCAAGTGCTTTCTTCCATTAGACTAACATACTGATAAAAGCTTCTCATGGTTTCTAATAAGCCCAATAGGCAAAATTCATTTTTTCATCTTGTTTTCGAAAGTCAATTATTAAAATAAGAACAAAAATCTAGTAGATATTCATAACAAATGATTTTTAAATTCAATTATTTTACCTCAACACGTTCTTCTTTAAGATCAATTTTCATTGCTAAATCTAAAATTAAAACAAAGCAAAAATTTTCCTTATTAAATTTTTAAAAACAGATATGTTTTTCTTTTTACCTTCTCTCATCATAACATCAGGATAATGTGTTCGATTAAAAGCTTCTTCCAATTGTTCAAGTTGTTCTTCAGTAAAAATAGTTCGATGTCGTCGTTTTCGTTTATGATTTTGAGCCATTGTAGCAGCAGCAAAAAAATTTTGTAATGCAGGATATGCTTTAAATAAATAGAATCAATGAATTAATACATTATTTATTTATTTATTTTAATTCTTAAACTATTTCTTTTCTTTCAAAGAAAATTTTTATAATTAACTTGTATCTTATAGAGTGTGCCCGATAGCATAAAATCATTGTATATTTACATGAACAATCATTTTTTTTTTGCTCTTTGAACTTTGTATTCTATTGAATATAATAACATCAATAACTTGACGTTATTACTAAAACAGGTGACGATTCGGAAATAAACATCTAGTTATAATGAATCACTGACCATACCAACAATTAAACACGTTTATCATAAGCAAATATACAAAAGAAAAAAAAAACCGAGAAAGTATATATACATATATATATCATAACTTTTCGCTCTAACACCTTTTATATTCATTGTTGATTATAGATAGAAAGGAAAAAAAATGAATATCTCTTTCACGCTGTATATACTTACAATAAAAATCGGCAGCAGCTTGAGCAGTACTTGCTGATGTTGTACCATAATAAGGAGATAATGGTACTGGTAATCGTGGACGTGGAGCAAGTATATTATCAATAGAAAATGGATTATTATGTGAAACAACAGCAGCAGCAGCTGCTGCAGCTGCAGCCAATGGATGATGACCACCGGTAGTAACTAGTGGATTTACACCACTTGTATTACCACCACCACCTCCACTAGAAAAATAGGCTGTTAGTGCAGCCGATGGAAATTGTTTCAGCGCATCAGAATAATGCGGAAGTTGATACATTGTTTTGTTTGTTGCGTAGCTTTCAATTTCAGTTACTTTTACTTTCTTTTGACAGTCTGTAGTCAATAATGTAGTCGTTAATCGATCGTGTTCGTCTTTTCTCTTTTTCTCTCTTCTCTTTTTGTCTCTCTATTTCTTCTTCTTTTTTTTTTTTATTTTTCTCTTTTTCTCTCTTTTTATTCCACCAATCGGTGACGATGTCTATGCTTGGTGATTGCCGATTTTCTTGTGTGATAATTGTTTTGCAAATATTTAATAGAAAAAAACGAACGATGCATACATATACGCATAAGCGCAAGGGTGTGTATGTTTATGCTTGTGACTAGGTGACAGTAATGTTAAAAGCAAAGAGGTTGTTTTTAATCATCATAAACGATTTTTTCTTTTTCTCTTGCTTTTTTTTTTCTTTAAATTTGTAAGTATATGCATTAATAAGCCAATCAGTGTGAAGAGAAAATGTACATTAGTTGAATACGAAAAGCGAGCCAAAAAAGAAATTGATTGATCGGGGATGATACGTTGTTCGGATGTATAAATGAAGCGAGAGATATTTAATCATAGATAAATTATCATATACTATTGCAAGAGAAGATATTGAAAAAAAAGAGGATGGACTAGTAGAAGAAATATGTACGATATCGAAAGATTTAATCTAAGTTAAGCAAAACAAAAAAAAAAATCTAGAAGAAATAATTGAGCGGATTCGTTATATTTAAAGTATTTCAAAAATAAAATTAATGATCAATTTGAAAAGAATCTATTATAGATTCAATATTCAGTTTTGTATTGGTGTTTACTTCTTTTACCTGTAGGAGTTGTATATTATATTGTAAATTAACATGACGTTGTAAATAACAATCAAAATCAAATATACATGGAGACATTCACTTATTCTATATTGCAATGCTCGTTATAATTTTTTAATGAACTAGTCGTATGCAACAATCAGGTGGTCACACATACATATACCTTTCGATTTTGTGCATCTTCTTTTTAATTAATTTCTTTTTTGCTCTCATTACGAAGGTTAACGGTATGATATATAATTATATAGATCTAACCTTGACAACAATATCTTTTACTATTATCATAAATATAAATAATTTCTTAGAGATAATTATACTTTTTTTTTTTACAACTAAGCATCAATAATAATATAAAATTTTTATGAAAATAAATTTATTGTAGAGTTCTATACATAACTGCTGCCGGGTGTAATGATGATGATGATTAATCAACAAACATATACATTGAATTGAATGAAAACTACTTTTGTTTGCCGACTTGTTCTTTTTTTCTTTGTCTTGTTATAAAGTTGAAAAACACTTGATCAAGTAGTCGAATACATTATCGAACACATTTTAATAGATGTTCATATAACGGTTGTTAAATGGAGACGAAAAAGAAAGTTGAAGAATTTGTATGTAGAGAAAGACAAAGAAATGAATTGAAAAGAAGTATAAAATTGACAAGCTACACAATTAATGAAAGATAGACGATGTTAAAGCATTTCTTTTTTTTTGTTTTTTATAAAAAAAGAAACGCAATAAAAACAGTCTTTGTTTACTGCTTAGTACCAAAGTCATACTTGATGAGGGATTGTTCATGTTATTATTCATAATTATTAGTTGTCAACAAGAAAGAATAACACTTATACGTGTTATTAAAATCATTGAAAATCATACGAATTAAATGTATACAAAAGAGAGACAAGGATATATGTTATTATTTGAGTTCCTATAAACTCGAATAATCTCTTAAACTTTCGAAAACTAACAATTTCTATTAATATGATAATATTTACAGCTTTACTAAAGTAAATAATTGCATCATGATTTCTATTTATTCTCAAAAGACTTTTGAAATATTTGTGAAACTTCAGTGTTATTAAAATTAAATGGCTATATAATGATATATGGATGCGACTGACCTGACTTCTCTGTCAAATGCTATATAAATGACAGCTCTTCATTGTTATTTAGTACTTTTATTATAGCCATCTCTCGAAATCCTCCCTAGCACAAGAACTCGCACTCTGATTATTCTTTGTATGCGAAATTCTTCTAATCATAATTTCTAACATGGCTTATTTTCGACCACTTTAGATAGAGGAAAAAGCCATTTCTCTAACTTACTTTGCTCGATCAAGTTGGAACTGCAGTTTTTTAGGTATTATATCGGATGCCTAATTTTTTTTTAAAATATCGTACCGCTGATACCTGTCAAATTTTTACAAACGAGCCATGTACTTGTGGAGGTATGTTCCGTATTTTGATTTTTATATTTAAAAGGAAAGAGATGAAAATTATGAGATCTGTTTCGGCTGAAATAGTGAGGCGATTTTTAGGCTTTATAAATTAGATATTTTCTTGAAGGAAGTATATGGGAATTTGGAGACTATGACAACTTTTGCTCTACTCGTCGAGATTTATCTATCTTGAAAGTTTCAAATATTTGAGATGAGCCATTCTTCAGTACGTTCGGTGACTTAGTGATACATATATTTAGAAAAAAACTAATTTTTCTCGACTACTATTCATCATAGTCATTCCGAACAAATTGAGTAATATTATTTGAACTGATTGAAAGTAAACCAAAAGTCGATCGATGCATAATAAATCATTGAAAATAATATTTCATTAGTTTAATTATTTTTATAAACATTTTCATAGTGAATAAATTAAATAATAACTAATATATTCTTTTGTTTTATAAGATCATCTTCATTCACATACATATAAAGATGTATGTGTCGAAAAAAGAAATGAAAACAAACGAACATTGCTGTGTGCACAAAAGGCCAAAGAAAAATAATAGCGAAAGTAAATGAAAAGAAGAAAAAAAGAAAATTTTGCCTAATGTTGTAAATCGTCTTCTTCTTTCTTTTTAAATGTTTTTCAGAGTGCAGATTATGTAATAATAATCAATAAATTCACTTTTATATGTTTGAAAGAAAATGAAAAAAAAACAGAAGCAAAAAACTAAGAAAAAAAAAACCAAAGAAAAAAAAATGTATTTTTATTTAAGCTTTATATGGTAGACGTTGTTTCCATGCTTGAAATTTTAACTTGAAAATATCTCGTAATTGCGAACGTTCTACATCAAAATTTTTATTGAGCATTAAAAATTGACGAAGATCATCGTCGGATATAAATAGTTGACTTTCCATATCCGTTGATGGATTTTCATCCTAAAAAAAACCGAAACAAAGTCTTGAATCGATTAACTAAAATATTAAATTTTACCCAAGTTTGCTTCAGATCCATATGAAAGAATGGATATTGTTGAGATAATTGTACCTATAATAAAACATTTATATATATAATAGTGAACAGAAGTCTTTAACCCGTCCGACCTCAACTACTATTTGTGGTGAAAGTTTAAAAATTTTTGTGCGCATATTTCATCAAGAATGTCAATCAGAGGTTAAGCCGTATCTCGATTGCTACAGTAATAAAGAGAATTATGATGAATACTATTGGATAGTACTTATTATTTTGTTGAATTTCATAACTCTGAAAAAGAACTTTGTGAATCATACTGTAATTATTAATCAAAGAGAAAGTCTATCCGTAACTCAATCATAGTTCAATGAATTAAGTTCAAACTATAAGAAAAGCTTGCTAATAAACCTCAGAAAAAGACGTGCAGAGAATTCGAAGAACAAAATCTTCTAAGAAATGAATACATCTCTTAAATACAGAACGATCATCAAAAATGTTCTAATTATTTATTAAAATATAAAGAAAACGTCATGGATTCGATCAAAAGAAACTTGCAGTAGAACTCGATATTGATCATTTTTGGTAGAGTATGTGCACAGAAATCTATATTAGAAAATGCAAAAAATTCTAAATATCTAATTACTTTAAGGATATGTTTTCTCGTAGTATCACATAATTCAATTGTTTTTTTAGCATCTAGAAAAATGAATATTCTTTTTTAATAAATTAATCATAAATATAAATTTTTACCTATTAATGCATTATGAATACAACAATTATGACTACAGATACGACTGGACAAAACAGAATTACAAGGTGAAACAGATTCACCATGTTCATCACTATTCTCATCCTCTTCATGTACTGGACAACAATGTGATACTTCAAAAACAAAAAAAAAAGAACAAAAATTGATTTTTATTTATAATAATTATTGAAAAATCAAAATTCTTACGTTCAGTTAAACATCCATCACATGTCAATGAACATTCACAAGGACTAAATGAACAAGTTTCATCTTGCCCTAAAATTGAAGAAAAAATATTTACATGTCCATTGTGGTATGTAAATAACAATAACTCGCATAGTTAAACGATAAAACAAAAAGAAAATCTACGAATTGGGATCTACAAATATGTTCGCTAGTTTTTTTTTCTTATTATGTCAGATAGCATGAACCAAGGTTCTCATCTTACGATGAATGATTTTTTTATTATTATTAAAACCATAGAAATTATTAAAAACGAGCAAAATAGGTTAGTCTTAGTCCTTCAAAAAAAAAACTGATCGGTCTCATGCTAATTATGGTTAGAAGCTCGTCATAGATTAAAAAAAAAAAGAAGTGAAAAATCACTTAACAAACCTTTCCTTTAAAACTTTCTTAATCTCATCGAAACATTCATCAATGACTGATATTATCGATAATATTATGTATACGAATTTACCTGAAGAATAACCAAGATCAGTTCGTGTACTAGAACAACGAATACATGATATCGATGATGATGTTGGACATTCATCACACGACACTTGTTGTTTTTCTTTAAAAAGAAAAGTAATAAAAATTTTATTCAAAAAAAAAGGAAAAAAAAAATAAAACAAAAAATTAATTTTATTTACCTAAATTTCTATCATGACAAACACATTCCCTTGTTGAAACAGATGAAAGAAGAGTTTCAAGTGAACTTGATAATGGTATAGTTTGTCCATTAATAACTTGATGTGATGATTTTTCTACACATTCAGATGTAAAAAGTAATGATGATGGACATGATT